ATTTATTTGCATATAAAACGAATCATTCTGAGCTTTGTGATTGGTCGAATTTTTCGGCCTATAAACATGTAAAATTAATTATGATCATACGACGAGAGAAATATGTTCCGTTTTGTATGCAAACAAATAAAAAATCTTATGGCTATAGTAGATTCAAGAGAGTTGAAATAAAAAGTTACTAGTTACCGATAAAATATAACTAACTAAAGTTAAAAGATAAGAGTCTAAAAATGTAACTAGATAAAGTTAAAATTATTTAACTTTTTAACTTTTCAACTTAACTTTTATCTTTTTAACTAGACACTACCCAACCTTGCATTTGTTATATTTCTGCATGATTGTATTGCTCAATTTCAGTAACATTGTCATCGTGTTGCTCTATTTCAGTGTAATGATTATTCTCTGCTGGTTCCTTTATATTTATAACTCTGTTTGAACGACGTTGCTGTCATTCAAATCTTTGTAAAGATTGAGCAGAATTTTTAATATTTACTTTACCGGGAAAAATAGTGGAAAGATAAGATGGATGCAACGGATTTTCTGATTATGTATTATTGATGAAATGTGCACTACAAATTTTTGTATTTTTTGTTGGTTCCCAATCCTTTGGATTTTTAAAAAAATAAAAAAAAAATCAAAGGTTAAGGATAAATAATCATGCAATTTATGTATTTTAAGATTTCACCTCGATTTCTCATATTTTAGACACCATCGTTGTATGGATAGCAAACCATCTTACTGTTATTATTAATATAACACTTACACGTAATTTTTACCTGCATTTATCCATTTAATTCCATATATGTAATACTCCTATATTGCTCGCTTCGTATACTTTCCATGAGCGGTTTGTCCGCCGATAAAGTGAGACAGATGATAGATGTATTGACCGTTCTGCATGCGCTAGATTCTGAGGTAGAATGACTGACCCCCACTCCCTCGATTCAGTGCATGCGCAAAACACACGATTCTTCTGACAGAGTGAGAGAACGATATATCGTCTGCACCGTAATGTTTTCGGAACTTTCCAAGCCAAACGAGCAATATAGAAGTATTACATATATGTTTAATTCCCCCCGAATGGATTCCCACCTTATAGCTCCGAAGCGGGAGCTCGGGGCTCGCGGAGCGCTCGGTGCGCACGTGGTCTGGCCGCCTCGCAGTAACTACACGGAACGTTTTTGTTTGTTCCTAGCATGTGCTAGTGGCGGCGTGGCCGGGCATTGATCGTCAGTTCCTCTCTGGACGCTGGCGGGTTTACCTGATCGTGTCGTCACAATGGAAGTGTGATGAATCTGACGGGACAACAATTGACCACAGAAAGTGAGCATTTGGTGTCTTCAGGGGTTGTGGGCTCTCGCGCCGGAGCGGGTAGTGGGGTTTAAGGTCGCGGGCGGTGGTCATCCGATCAGGGATGGGCCCGTCTGTGACCAACTAAGAGGAAGCTCCCAAGTTAAGGTGTGAGCGACCGTGCCGAGAGCTGCGTGGCGCAAGGGGAGTTACGTCGTGAACGGTGCCTTCTGGAGTGCGAAATCCAGGAGTACGGAGCTAAGCCCCAGCCATTCGCGGCTCTGGCTGGGTGAGACCGCGCAACCGCGACACTCGTGGGAACATATATGGATAATGAAAACAAAAATAAAATCACCCCCAAATCAGTCCTCAAGAGCAAAGCCTCCTTTGGAAGTAAACGCTCAAAAGAATCTTGCAGTGCGGGAGCGGGCTCAGAAGTCCCAAAATACCGCATAAGATATAGCGGGGCCGCTAGGCGCCGTTATAATAAACAAATGCAAGCCAGGGAGAGTGGGGCCAATAAGGTCTTCTCTACCTTTGCAGCCTCTTGCTCAAAAAGTCGGGCTGGGGGTGGGCGGGCTTCGGGTGGCGCGGCAAAGCGAACCAGGCCGGAGCACGCTACTCCCAGTCCCTCAGAAAATCGCCAGGGCAAGAGACTCAAAATTGAAAGGTCGTATGCACAGGCGACAAAAGGTCTTGTCAGGATGGCCCTCGTACTGGAGAGCTACCGTGACAAGAAGATAGGAACCGATGAGGCAGTTGAGATCAGGAAACTGATCAGGACTCTCATTTTCGGCATGTCCGAAAATGACAAAGCCCCCACCGGTTCTTGGAAAGGGATGGCGCACTCATTGTCGTGTGCGCCAATAAAGAGTCGGCGGAGTGGCTTAAGGTCCACTCCCCCAAGGCAAAAGTCAGGGAAATTCCTCTGCGTGTGCTGCCGGTCGGTGAGCTACCCAGGCGACACCGGGTGATGGTGCATGTGGAGGAACCTGACATAGATGTTGAGGAGGCTCTAAAACTCCTCAACCAACAGAACACAGAACTGGCAACCAATGAATAGGTCGTCAATAGAGAGACGTACAGTAGGGACGCCTTGAGCGCCCACTTCTCCTGCTTGGTTGGCGATTCGGCACTGGAAGCCTTGAGGCACTGTGGCTTCAGGCCTTTTCTCGGTCTCGGCCGAGCCGCCGTTAAGGTGGCGAGACGGGAGCGCGGAGAGGCGACTGAGAAGAAGAAGATGTCGAGACTGCCTAAAAATGGCTCCTCCCGGCATCCAAATGACCCAAATTAATTTGCACCACAGCAAAAGCGCCTCGGCTATCTTAGCCAGGAGCATGGCTGTGATGCATACAAATATTGCACTAATCCAAGAACCTTTGATTGTAAACGGTGCAATAAGAGGTCTGAGTGGGTGTGGCTGTTTATACAAAGCACACTCGGAAAAAAGAGTAAGATCTTACATAGTAGTTAAAGGACTAAATGCTATCTTTCTGCCACAGCTCAGCAGCAAGGATCTCACAGTCATCAAGGTGAGAGTAAAGCTGGCCGAGGAAAAGAACATGGAGGTACTCATAGGGTCAGTCTATATGCCCTACGACTCCATGGACGATCCACCACCGAAAGAGGTAAAAGCCCAGGTAGTCTATGCGGAGGCCGGGAGGCTTGAACTCCTGCTGGGTTGTGATGCGAACTCTCATCATGTAGAATGGGGAAGTGCAAACATCAACCCGCGGGGGGGGAGTCTGCATGGCTTCCTAGTGGGCACAGAGCTAACCATTCTTAACACAGGGAACGAGCCGAAATTCCTGGACTCCAGAAGACAGGAAGTCATTGATATCACGGTTTGTACGGAGAGGGTGGCGGGTCTGGTGAACGACAGGAGGGTCTCGGATGAGCCCTCTGGCTCTGATCACAGACAAATACGTCTAACTCTTCAGCAACCACCGCAAATCAGCTGGGTTTGTAACCCACAAAAAACCAACTGGGGGGCTTTAGAGCTGATCTTAAAGCGCAGCTTGTTGAGGCCCCAACTAGTTTCAGGACCAAAAATATTTTGAAAAATGCAGCGGACTTTTTAAAGAACGCCATTGCAAATGTCTACGAGTTAAACTGCTCACCAAAACCAAGGAGCCCGGTGACCAAGATCCACTGGTGGAACAAAGAGCTTGAAAAGCTCAGGTTAGCAACGAGGAGAAAATTCAGTAAGGCAAAAACAACCAGACTTGCAGCACACTGGGAGGCTTTCAGAAGCTCCCAACGAGAGTACAGCAAGAAAATCAAGAAAACAAAGTACAAAAGCTGGAAACACTTCTGTGAAAGCATTGAGAGTGCCCCAGAGGCATCCAGGCTTCACAGAATTCTTAGCTTAAATCACCGTCTCCAACTGGGCTGTCTCAAGCTTCCAATTGGGAATGTTACTGAGGAGGCGTCGGACACATTAAAACATTTAATGGAAGTCCATTTCCCAGGTTTTGACAATAACATACAACCCCGCCGGCCGAAGCTTAAAATATATAAACCCAGGAAGTGGCGTGTGGCAGCTGAGGTTGTCCATCTAAAGGGAGTTGAATGGGCTATTAAGACCTTCAACTCATATAAAGCACCTGGACCAGACGGTATCTATTCCGTCCTTCTTTAGGAGGGACTGGGAGTACTAGTCGGTCCACTTACTAAAATCTTTAGGGCAAGTATAGCCCTAAGATATGTTCCTCAAGCTTGGAGTGGTATAAGAGTGGTTTTTATTCCCAAGCCTGGCAGAAATGGATATATTTCAGCCAAGGATTTCAAACCGATCAATCTTACCTCCTTTGTTTTTAAGACGTTGGAGAGGCTGATCGACGGATTCTTGAAGAACGGACCTTTGCTTACATATCCACTGGCCTCTTCTTCCCAATATGCTTACAGGGAGAGCAAATCCACGGATACTGCCTTGCACCACTTTATGAGCGAAGTCGAGAAGCAATTGGAGGCAAAAGGATATGCCCTGGGCGTCTTCCTGGACATTGAGGGAGCTTTTGATAGCACCTCATATGATGTAATCGGGGAGGCGATGACCAGACACGACATTCCAGCCGCACTAGCAAACTGGACACAAAGCATGCTAACAAGAAGAACCCTGATTGCTAATCATGGGGACTCAAACGTGCATGGTTTCCCCGCCAAAAGATCCCCGCAGGGAGGAATTTTATCCCCTTTGCTGTGGTGCTTGGTCGTGGACAAACTTTTATATAAATTACAGAAGACAGGTTTCTTCGCCTTTGGCGACGCTGATGATGTGGCCATTATAGTGAGGGCAACTTTCTTTCAATACTTAAGGAGACTATGGGAAAAGCCCTTAAGATCACGCAATACTGGTGTCAATCAAAAGGAGTTAGGGCTAATCCATCAAAGACCAAGACCATGATTTTCACCAGGAAATACAAACCTGAAGCCATTGAGCCGCTTAGACTCTGGCGGGAAGATATAGAATACGTCCAGTCAGTAAAATATCTGGAAGTCCACTTAAACACCAAATTGAAGTGGAAAACACATCTCGATATAAAGAGATCCAAATTCTATGCCTTATACTGGGCGTGTAGAAAAGCAATGGGAAAATCCTGGGGTATTAAATTAAATACTGCCCTATGGATATACAAAGCGGTACTAGTACTGAAGTTAACATATGCCGCTGTTGTTTGGTGGCCTAGAGTGGAAAAGATGGAGTCAAAGAACCTACTAAAAAACCTACAAGGTAATTACTTGAGGGCTGCGGTAGGGACTATGAGAACGACACCAACAGAAACGCTGGAAGTGGCGCTCTGCATTCCACCTCTAAGATTGACTATCATCAGCGCTGTTAAACTCACAACATATAAACTAAAGTGTCAGGGGGAGTGGAGAGATTTCGGAGTAGATCATACCAGGCTCGAGTTTCTTCATAAATTTCCCTTTATCTTAAAACAAGACAGAATATGCAGAATACGCCAGGTGGACAAGGTTCTCCATAAACTTGACCACCAGGGCAAACTGGAAAAACAGAAATCTTCATATCCAGCCGGGCACTCATGCATGGTTCACTGATGGATCTGGAGCAAACGGCTGCTATGGAGCAGGCATCTACTGTCCAGGATCAAATCACAGAGAGTTTTTCTTTCTGGGTAAACTGGCCACGGTCTTTCAAGCGGAAGTCCTGGCTATTCTGAAATGTGCAAGAATCCTACTCTCAAGAGAGACGAAAACTAAGAGGATCAATATCTATACGGATAGCAAAACAGCCATAGAAGCTCTTGCCAAGACCACCACTGAATCTTCAGTGGTTTGGGACTGTATGCAAGCTCTAAACAGATTGGGCGAGCAAAACAACATCACGCTTGTCTGGGTACCTGGCCACCAAGGTATCCAAGGCAATTAAGTGGCTGATAGTCTGGCAAAACTAAGTCCTTAGAGGAACCAGTCTGCCAGATAGTTGGAGTTCCTTTTGCAACAGGGAAAAACCATATCAAGGACTGGCTGAAAAAGGAGCACAGGATCTCTTGGGAGATACTGAAGAGCTGCCGCCAAGCTAAGGCCCTGATGACTCAGCCATTGCCAGGTAGGACAAAGGAACTACTGACAATGAGTAAGTACAGACAAAGACTGTGTATCGGTCTCCTCACAGGGCATTGGGCCTTCAAGGCATATTTATTCAATTTAGGCCTAATTGAGAAGAGTAATTGTAGATTTTGCGGCGAAGAAAGGAAGGACAGCGTGCACATATTGTGTCGCTGCCCGTCTCTAGCACTCAAGAGATTCAGATCCTTGGGCTCTATGTTTGTGGATATATTATATATATATAATATATGTATAATATATGTATATTATATGTATTATATAAAATTAATATATATATATATATATATATATATATANTATATAATATATATATAATTAATATATTATATATATAATTAATTAATATATAATATATATAATATATAATATATAATATATATATAATTAATTTTTTCTGTATGATTTTTGTGTCTGTGAGTTTCTCTGAATACGTTCAACAGTTGGCATATATCTATTTGTTATAATATATTTATTTGTTATATCTTTTTTATTTTATTTATGTACGGTTTGCTCTATTCATTTTTTAATGTTTTGATTTTTACATATATTTAATTGTATACACAATAAGATATACATATAATAGAATAAAATAATAATATAATAGAATTATACTTATTTAGTGGTTACATATAAATATTAATATTCAATATACATATATTTTTTTAAACGAGACTTTTACAATATACGTTTCTTCCATTTACCGGAGACAGTAATAAATCCATCTATTAAACACACATATATATATACACATGTTATTTGTCAACGTTAAATATTAAGTAATTGGCCAATTTTTACGTTTTGAGAAGAAAATAGGAAGGAAGAGCAGTTACATTATCGACACGACGTAGTTGTGGACAACCGATTGCTACTAGTTAGTTCGCACGGCGCTCGTTGGCGTTACGAGCAACCGCCCCGCTTGCCCCCCGATCCCCGCGCCTATTCCGCGATTCAGTGACGCGTTGTGTACACTGTACTTGTGTACTTTTTGAACCATCTGTATAGATGAAAGTTTTTTCTGACTCCTTTCTGCCGTATTTTTCCATTATGTTTGTCATCATTTCTTCATTTGTGATTTTTTTTAACTTCCTTAACACTCCTAGTTCTTTTTCTTTTTTTAACCTCATATTCCACATGTCATAATTAGTGTTATACACTTTGTATCCTCCTGTCTATAGATCTTTAGCGTATTTCTTTAGCTTATTCCATGCTTTATATAATACGCTGCCGTCTCGACTTGGGTTTCTTATCAGCTCTCGTCTTTCCCTCCTACTCATTCTATTCATTGCTCTTTCCGTGTCTTCTTTATCTATCACTAATTTTTTGCTCAGGAATGAGACTGCTAGGTATTCTGCTCTGTGTTTCATTAGCATTACCTTACTTTCTCCAACCGTAACATTCGTTGGTGTACTATTTTTATATTCTAATGCTGTTCGAATGCCCGCGAATTGGGCTTGTTCCACTTTATGTTCTATCTTCTTCTTACTCGGGTAGTATAGAAATATTGCATAATCCATTACTGACCTTACTAGGCTCTTATATAGTATCACAGCTGTATTGACTTCCATTCCCTCGCTTACCTTATTACACATTTTTAGTATTCTGTTTGCCATTAGTACCCTTTTCTTAATTCTACTGACTTGTTTTTCCATATTGCACTCTTCATCAAACAGAATTCCTAAAAATGTAGCCTCTTTTTGACTAGTTATTGTCGTGTTTTGTACTTTAATTTGTACTCGTTTCCTTCTTCCCTGTGTTTTACCGAATTTAAGTAGTGCTGTTTTTTCTGGTTGTAAGTCTAGTCCTATTTTCTTCAGATTCTCCATCACTGTTTCCACGCTTCTTGATAGCTTTTCTATCGCCATTTCCATGTTATCTACTCTTGTATATACTGCTATATCATCGGCGAACTGTCTTACCTGTATATCTCTCTCTACTTCCTTTACCACCTCTTTTGTGTATATCGAATACAGTACTGGGCTTAATACCGCTCTTTGCGGTAGCCCCTTCCACACCTTGCGATGGACGGATTTTCCTGTTCCAGTTATGAATTCTACATCACGTCCCTTGAACCATTGTTGTATATATTTATTTATCTTCCAAGGGCACTTGTATTCTTCTAGTTTTTCCACGCATATGTCGCCTAAGGGCGATGTCCCATTGAGCGGAAATNTATAGCGGAACGGAATGTGCGGAACCGGCTCGACCAATCGTAACCACAGAAAAAGCGAAAGAAAGAAAACGGAATGGCTATGATTGGTCGAGCTGGTTCCGCACATTCCGTTCCGCTATATATTTCCGCTCAATGGGACATCGCCCTAAGACGTTATCATAGGCTGCTGACACATCCAGGAATGCCGCTAGTGTTTTTTTTCCATTTTTATTGTTATCTTCTATGTATGTTTTTAGATCAAAAACATTCTCTGCACATGTTCTTCCTTTCCTGAACCCTCTCTGGGTTTCATGGATTATTCTTTTCTTTTCTGTCCACCACGTAAGTCGTTCATTTACTAGTCTTTCCATTAGTTTGCCTATACAAGATGATAGCGATATAGGTCTCACTTTTTCTTTTCCAGGTTTGTCTATGAATATCACCTGATATTCCCTCCATTATCTTGGTATATCTCTATCATTGAATACCTTATTATATAATCCCAGAAGTTTGTTTTTCCACTCCCAGGGCATTTCTTTAATCATTTTATACTGTATGTTGTCCCTTCCCGGTGCTGACTTGCTTTTTGTTCTTCGTAAAGCTCGTTCCAGTTCTATCAGTTGGAAATCTTTGTTCAGCTCTTCTTCCATGTCTTCCTCCTCTTCTCGTTCTTCTATTTCTTTTTCTTGTTGTTCTGTCCATCCTGGTGACAATTTTTCTATGCTTTATAATATTTCTTTATTTCGATCTTTGTTTTGCCACTTGTTCCAGTCTATCACATGTGGCGGCTTTCTTAATGCTCTTACTTTGTTCCACACGTACTTCATGCCTGTGTTTTTATTTATTGATCTGGCAAAGTTTCTGAATCCTTCTCGCTTTTTGAACTTTATTATTTTTCTTGCTTCCGCTCTAGCCTTTTTGAATGCTATTAAGCTGGCTATCGTTTTTTCCTTTTGAAGCTTTTTTTGTTGTAGTCTTCTATTGTCTATTGCCTCCTTACACTCTTTATCCCACCAGCAGCATGGGTTTTTATTATGTTTATTTAGTTTATTTATCTCCTTGTTGTCACTCATATCTTTTTTTTGGTGTTTTCTTCTTATTTTTCCTGAAGCTACCCTTACGAAAAAGAACTATTGCCGATTACATATAAATATTACTGGCAATTACACAAGAATATTATTAGGTATTACAGAAAAAATTATTGGATATCACAGAAAATATTATTGGATATCACAGGAAGTATTACAGGTTATCACTGAGAATATTACTTGCAATTACACAGAATGCTTGTACTTATTCCGTACCACTGCCGCAATATACTACTGCCTAAATATTATTGCCAGTAATATACAGGGTCCGCCACTTAAATCCGGACAAATTTGAATTTGACATTCCCATCATATTAGAATGCAGCAGTAGGTGC